TTTATGATCGAGTTGGTGCCGCATAGTCTAGTGGCACGGGCGTTCGGAATCCGGTAGAAAAACACAACACACGCAGGTTCGATTCCTGGTGGCGCGCGCGTTTATCATTATAAATTGTACTTTCCTCCGTAAGTTTGAGAAGGCAGCGAACTTGTGTTTGTTGTTGTTTGTATGGTGGTGACACGTCAATCATGAATTTTAAATACATTCATATTTTCCTTTTGGTAAATTGATGGTGGTGGTGGGTAATGTTGTTAGTGATTTAAATGTTGCTCATTGGTTGGTTAATGCATTATTAAGTAAGAAAAGGCAAATAGCGAGTAACTTTTTTTCTAATGATGTCAATACGACGAAGCGTGTTGAGGGGAACACAACAATACATTGAGGTGAATGTGAGTGCACGCGTTTGAAAGTGAAGAATCAATCACTTTCTCGGGCAATTGCAATAAATATACGAAACAGGATTCGGATTATGTGCTGAGCTAATTACACGAATATACCATCGCATTATATACATATATGTATAAGGCCTTATATATATAACCGTAAGAGGATCCTATTGGTTTGGACGATAGAATTTTTGACGACAATTTTTGGCGTCTACGGGCATGCTCTTCTCAACTTTCCAGAGGGATATTTCAAATGTTTCAAGTGTTTCTGGCCACATGAGTCAAGTGCATGAGCTCTGCTGTAACTGCATTCATTAGCCTTTTTTTTCCAATTTTTATATGTTGTTTTCACTTTTCTATTTCATGTCTGGTCTATAGGCAAATTGCGTTTTATGAGATGTAGCAAATTTTAAAAGACTTGAAATTTTAAAAAAAGTTGAAGAGCAAATTATGATAAAAAATTTTAAAATATTGTACTCATATATATACATATACTTAAGTGAACATTTTTCATCAAACACATGCAAATGCAAACAAAATCGAACCACCCACCCCGACAACCGACTAATCCATCTTTATTAAGCCTTACCCATTCTGTTGATAGATCTCTAGTTTGTCGATGTATGCTAATTGTTTCATATCTTGCTTGCCAAATCTTTTCAACATTTCGTTCGCATCTCTTCTTCTTAGTTTCGTCGAAATGTTCTTTTGCATTTCTATGCCACGTAACTGTTGTTGCCCTCATTTTTCGCTTTATGTATGACTTGCCACTAAAGCAAGTTCCCTTTCTCACTCGAAACCAAGCTCAACACTTTTCTTATCAACGTAGCGACTATTCTTTCAGGATTTTTTTGCTTCATTCACCAGATCCTAGATTCATAACATATATGCTGAAAAAATCCCCGTTACATATATATATATATATATAATATTTAAAATATTTGTATTTGTTCTTATAAGTCTAATGTAAATTTAAAAGCTCAACTGCAGGCGTGTGAAGATATGTCAATAAGTATTACTACCACTAGATGGGCCTTACAATCTAAAATACAAAGCTATAAACCTCCAAAGAAAATAACTCATACAAGATTAAAATGAAGCTTTTAGTGCAAATATCGCATGAAAGTTTTAATTGCTGCATCAAACCATCTGTGCATATTTACACTTTTGTATTGTAAAGTGCACATACGCCATAATATACATTTATGTATACACTGTGTATTAAAGAAAAAAATTGAGCGAAACTTTATATCAATCTCATAGCAAAAAGATTTCTAAATTTTGTGGTTTCGGCAAATTCTTCATTAAATTTCAGAGAAACGGTTCGTAGGTGATTTTGTAATTATGGCTGTTATGTGTCTAAGATATGAAGGTGAAGTTATATGATTTTGTACAGAAACCGTTTGAAATTTTAGACACAAACCAAACAAAAGTGAAATGACAAACTTGAACTTACCAAGCTTTGCTGTAATGAGTACTTGTTATAGGGGGCGTAGCAAGCGACATTTGGTTTGTGTCTTGTACATGCCATAAAATATAGAAAGGAGTTGAAACGCGCACAAGGCTGCAAATTTTTTTTTCTTTATGTCATATTATTTCAATAAAAGCTAAATCACTTTTAAAAACAAGCTTTTTCCTTGTTAAGAAATACGATTGGCTGTGGAAGCAGTGGCTCTTTCTCGTTTCTCGTCCTATTTCTTATTTGACACGTTCTCACTTGATAAGTTCACATTGCATTTAATTATATGTGTGGACAGAACTTTACATAAAAAGCATACCAAGTACCAAGCGGTGAATTCGAGCACCACTGTGATACAAAAAAACAATGCTGCTCGACCACGATTATATCGCGTTCCGTTTTGGCGTTTCATAGTGTGACAAAAAAGTGTTTTGCTTCTTGTTTTCAGTTTAAAGTGTTAGGGAGCACTTTTTCATTTATTGTGATTCCGAGCTTATTGCAGAGTTATTGGTTCGCAAACGTATATCTTGATCGTGCAAAAGAAATAAAAGCATTTGCCAATCATTGTTGCACCCGACACGCAAGGTAAAAGTTGCTCCGGACTACGAATCGAATCTGAGCTCTTCGTGGCTGAGTGCCGAAGGTTTTATCCGCTAAGCTATGCGGTAGCCTTTTAAAATTCAACAATAGATGTTTAAGTTTTGATTGTTAGGGGAAAGAAGAAGACAAAATTTGATATTTAACAAAATGGCTAATGATCTGTTGCGATCTCCTTGGTTGTTGTTGTTTGAATTACGAGTTATTGTTGTTATTTTTTTACACGCTTCTGCTCTCATGACGCATTGCATTGTCAAATAAAAAATAAGAAGAATTTTCGCTTAATTTAAACGCAGCTAGGTTTCGAACTCGCGATCCTAGTAATGTTTAAACATTCTTCGACTTTTTGTACGCGGCTTGATTTTCCACTAAATATTGCGTTTATATTATTTGTTAATAAACATAAAAAACGTGACATAAAAGCTGTACTTGATCTCTCTATATACTCATTTCTTTTAAATTTATCAAATTTACTATATTCTCCGTCGAGGATTACGGAAGTGGTTATCTTGATTCCTCGTTCCAGATTTAGAAATATAATAAGCTCTCAATGATTTAACTGAGATAGAGATTTGCTAGAATTATATACGAACGCTTCTGAATTTCGAATTTCTTAAGAAGAATTGCATCAACTGATGATATTCAACCAGGCAAAAGATAAAATCTGTGTATGGTTTTTGAAAATGATCAAAATTTACTTTACTTTATCTTTTGTTTAATTTTTACATGGTATGTATTCACAACTATTTAGTAATTATTTTTAGGTACATATGTACATATGGACTTTTCAGAGAGGCTATTATCATTTATATGCTCTGTAACGCAGGTAGCTCAACTTTGCCAGTTTCATTTCTTGCTCTCTTAGTAGCTTTTTCAATCACTAATGACTTTTCTCTAGCAAGTCAAAATATCTCATACTACAAATAAGTCTCACGCGAGACGAAGAGCAGTTTTGATGCAATACATTTTTAATCTTTACTGAACGTTCTCTTTTCGCTATCTCGCGCGCCCCGTGCAGAGCAGCACCTGACGAATATTTTTCTATTTCTTTTTCAAGATCGACTTTCTTACAAAATTTCCAAATTTTTGCAAAACACTAGTGCGTGAAAGGTCTCACTCAATGAAAGGTAAAAGTAGAATGGAAACATTTGATCGTTTTGTAATGACAATTGCGTCCGTGATAAGTCTTATAGAGAACACGTCGCAATTCATACGGAACGGTAGATTTCATTTTGCCAAGGAACAAGTCTTGAATATAATGCAAATGGCTTTGTTGTTTCAAAACAAATAATTTAAGAAAATAACTGAAATCATCCTCAGTATAAACGCTATATAGGAGAATTTTGTTATTCAGTATGTAAATCACATACACAAGTAAATATTAGCCGGACCGGGAAAGTAATCACTTTTTTTGCTTTTGTTCAACGCAGCACTTATATGAAAATGTCGTAGAAGAGCAACATGAAATTAGCGTTCGCGCAAAAAGAGACACCAATAGTAGGACATGAATAATTCATCTTGAGGCAGATGAGACGAAAAATCGACATTTTCAAAAGTGTTTTACTGGAGAGAGATGAAGCAAAAAGATGATTTTGGAAATTTGTTGTATGAATTACGTAAGTCGCACATGTTAACCAATATTTCTTTTTTACTTAATTATGATTCCAAAAAGCTGAACAGATTCATTAACTCTTTGCATCTACCATTGAAAAAACGAAAGCATGGAAAGTGACCTCAATAAGATATGTAATTATTATTATTTCTTTATCTCAAGTAGTAAATAAATGAATAACAGCATGTCGCGTCTAGCTAACGACTAGGGTGAGAGTTGGTGTAGGAACTACGATGCCTAACCATACCCGACATAGGAGTGAAAGAGGTAAACGTTTTCTTAATTTATTGGTATAAAATTAATGTACAAATTGAATCAAGTAAAAACACTGCAGAGGGAGACGGCTTATTATGAAGCACCCTACACCACTTCGCTCAATACGTTTATTCAGATAACGATTTTATTTAAAGTAAGACTTTGAAGATATTTTGAAAAACGCGACTTTTAGGTTGAACATAAGAAAATAAAGCGGACGGACAGACGTCATCCGGGCAGACATCATCCGCTTAGATCGATTAGGAAAGTCACTTTGAACCGTTGTCAAATACATCCGCACACTCATGATCGAGGACAAGACATGTATACTCATAGTTTTTAAATGTTTCTTATATATGTAATCCTTAAAGCAGCGACACATTTTACAATATATTTAATCGATTCGAGTAGTTTTCTTTCTTCTTTCAAACAAAAAAAAGAAAAAAAACAACTCTGATATATAATAAATATCTGATTACATTTCCCTTAATCGAAAGAAGATGAGATTCACATAAATAAAAGAATAAAATCACAAAACTGGAAAGGATTTCATTAACGAGTTAATAAGTTATCAATCATATAAGCGTTTTATCAACGATTTTAATTGTGTTGTATTGTTAAAAAAAAAATAAAAATTTTTTTTAATTTTATTTATAAAATGTAACTGTATTTCTCTTATTGTACTTACTTGAAAAAATAGCGTAAACGCCACCCATTGATAATATTTTGTGTGTTTTATTGTTAGAGGTCCACGTCCCTGTGAATTATGAACCCCAGGAAAAGGCACCTCGGAACCTTGCTTTTTCATAAAAGCATCCACCACAGTATATGTTGAATGTATCCAACAATATGTATTGAGGACATCTTCTGGAATGTCTCTGCAATGCGAACGAAACGAGAAAAACAAAAAAAAAAAAAAAAAAAAAAAGAAACACAAAAAATTCATGAATAAAATATGGTCTTAAAGTATTTTTCAAGTCGTACAACATCCACCAACTGAGAGTTTTTTTTTTTTTTTTTTTTTTTTCGTTTTAATTGTACATAAAAAGTTTTTTATGCCCTCTAGTTTCCCCTCCCCCTAGTTATGCGATGTTCTGCTTGTTCTGGTTATAGAATGGATTCAAGAAACAAGAGGACTGACTGCCTACACAATTCGTCGGATCCAATGAAGGTAATCGCGAAGCATCATATAGATTCAGATAGGGCCAATAGTTTGGAGATAAACTTTCCCAGATGGGGCGTATATGGGGCGTAAAAATAAAAATGAATTCATTCAATTCATCAAATTTTTTAGGAGGTAGGGGGCAGGCTGAAAAGTTCAGTTGATTTTCGTGAATCTGATTGTTCCAGCAACCTTCCACTCTTTCAGATTCCGATTTAATGAAAAAGAAGAAAAGGAAGAAGAAATGTGCTTGCAAAGCTAACGCGTCCGACACATTAATTAAATTCAAAGCGTAATTAAGCTTTTCAAGGGACTTGGCATCTAACATTTCCATTCTCAATTGCGTAGAGTGCTTGGCTCCACGAGAACAAGCCGAACAATTAAAAATGACTGAGAAATGCCACAAGGCAAACACTAGAGAGAAAAGAGCCAGAATCAGTCGGAGGCGAAGATTAATGGAGAGCAATCGTGACCGAAGAGGCCAATTGAAGGCTTCTCTAAGATTAGTGCTCTTTGGCTGTTGTCATATTCTTCGAAATTCTGCGAACATTCTTCGCATAACAAGTATCCGCGGAAAAGATAAAACAGATAATGGATGAAATCGATGTCAAAAGATGCATTACTTCTAAGTATGAATGCACCAAAGTTTTAAAGCAGATTTGAACTCATTAACTATGGTTTTGCTTGATTGCTACTACGCAGACTCTATGAACGGCCTATGTGACGTATGCGGAGGGATCGAGGACTTAGCACAATGAACGTAAGTAAATTATTGCATAATAATATGTTAGTCGATCTATAAAGTATTGATCTACGGAATGTTATAATACAAATACAAGAAGAAGAAGAATAACATGAATATAATTATAATAATAAGCAGAAGAAGAAGAAGAAGAAGAAGAAGAAGAATAAGAAGAAAAATTGCACATATATATATATATATATATATATATATATCTAAATATTAATTAGATTATACATGATTAATTGTTGTCGTTGGTGGGTGATGAGGCTGTGATGATGGGCGATATTTAAAACATTTTATCATACATACCTTGTATGTACACAGTCTATTGGATTTCCTACGTATTGACGTGTCGTAACAGCAATTGAAAACGTTATTAATAATATAACGGTTGCATTTGTGTGTAGGCGAAATACAGGTGAATCGATTTTAACATGAGACACCTGTTCGGTGTTGTTATGTTTATGCAAATGTGTAGTGTAGTGTTTACAGGATCAATAGGAATATAAGAAAGAATTTGTATTAATATCGATAAGAATTGAAATAAAATAAAGATTTTTTATTTCTTTCATTATATATATATATATAGAAAAAGAAATTAAATTTTTAAGAAAAATATCTTATTTATATGAACTGTTAAGTCTTAAACACACTTATTATGTGTGTATATAAAAAGATACCTAACTAAAGCGGTTTTCATTAGACATGAATCCCAGGTCGATGATAAATGAATTGTTTTTTTTATATATTTCATTAAGGGAAAGATACATATGTATATATATATATATATTTTTGTTTTTTAAACTAGTTTAACAAGAGAAAATTATGATAATTAAACAAATAAAATGTAGAAAAATTTCATTAAAACAAAAATATAAAAAAAAAAAAAATAAATAAATCCGATAAGCATAAGCTTGAATAGAGTTTTTGCTTTTCCATTGGCCAAATAATCATATCCATGTGGATTAATATTTAAATTAATTTTCCTTATCATACAAAAATCTCTTTGCCGCAAAATTTAATTATTTTGTAATATTTATTTGTTTAATTTTTTTTGATTTTATTTATTTTTTTTTGAAAATATTAATTTTTGCACAATTTTTTTAATCTGCCTGAGTACAAAAATAAATCTGAAGACTATATACACCTATGGAATGAAAATATTATAATTAAATGGTTTAAGAGAAAAAAAAAAAAAAATAAAGAGAAAAACATTAGATTATAAAAATAATAATAATGATCCAATAAATATAGCAAAGATTATACAACTTTGTCTAATAATAGTATGAAGGAGTTTTCTCTTTTTTTTTTTTTTTTTTTTTAATTTTAACTTAATAAATTAAGCAGAATAACGTAACATTTATACTTAAGCCTCTTTAACGTAAAGAGAAAATGAACAAATTAAAATTGATAAATAGATAAATAAATAAACTATTAGAAAGTAAAAAATAAGTATATTTAAAATTTTTCTATTGGAAGGAATGCAAATTTCGTTTTGAATTAAGTACGATTTGATTTTTAATAAAAAAAAACTTTTATGTCATGTTAAGGGAAAAAACATTTCTCTCTTTTTTTTTTTTTTTTTTTTTCTTTTAGGTTTTTTTTGTTTCTATTTATTTTGAACGTAAAGCATTTACAACGAAATTTTATTCGAATTGTGGTAAATCCACGTTACTAACATGCTTCAGCCTTAGTATTTTTAATTAATTCAAAATTTCTCCTGGGCAAATCTGCTAACAAATGGGTCGGTTAGTCGACGTACGGGCAAAAGGAAGAAGTCACTTTGAAACCGTTTCGTTGCGTACAATTCATAAAATATTATGTGAATTGAAAAATTTCTTTTAATTATCGATAGGTCAGTGCAGCAGGTCAGTGACAAGGTCTTATAATAAATTTGAAATAAACATCGTTTCTTGACTTTCGATCCTTATTAATACTTCGTGCATTCTTAAATTTCGCATTGATCTCAAATTTCAGCTTTTGTAAGAACCGGGGACTGGGGACCTTAAAAGCTTTAATAAATAGCTTCAAGTTACACCCACAAGATTAATGGTTTAATTCGACAAATATTCGCATAGAAAGCACTTTCTAAGTATTTGTGATCGATTTTGAAACGATACGTTTTCGAAAGATTAAATTTAGTGCAATAAAATTTTGAAATATTCGCCGCCAGTCACTCTGAGTGAATTACCTCTTTTTTTTTTTATCTACACTACACCATTTGTGATACAAAGCCGTGTTAAGATTGTGCGGATGTATGCAACACCCGGAAGAACTTGAATTAGACATGACTTTCATTGTTTCATCATCTGCCCCCGACCGGTCTTTGGCTCATAGACGAATACTCTCCACGATCGCCTTTTGATCATTTCCTCCATAAAGCCGAAAGGCTTATGGATAACTGTATTAAACGAAATGGTGTAGGGTGTTTAATGGAGGGCCCTGGCCAATTGGAGTGTTTTGACTGGCTTACTTTAACTTATGGAACTTGTTCGCCAGGAACTATTCCAACAATGACAATGCCAATCAAATATTCCACTTTCCACTTCAGTGTGAGCTGTCAAGGTACAAGGGTATATTGAGTTTGTGCGAATGTGTGCAGCATTCAGAAGAATCTGAGACAGATCCAACTTTACATTTCACATATCGATTCAGAATCGATCGGTCCACCTGTCCATCTGTGTGTCTTGTTTTGCTATGTTCAAGATCCGGGATGCAATTTTTGATATATTTCGATGAAGTTTGATGCACAGGCGTGTCTTGCTCTAAGGACAAACGGTACTGATCACTCCTCATATGAATATCGTATTTTGGAAAGCCGTTATGTGACTGTATGCAGCGAAGTAGTGTAGGATATTTAATGATGGACCGTAGCCTATTATGGTGTTTTTAGTTGTTACTTTCCTTTTTTTGTTTTTCAGCTAAAAGCTTTCGACAAGCTCCACAATTCCGCTTTCTTTTCGCACCCACCACCAAAAGGTTGAATCCTAATACCACACACACCTATTGGAAACCCAATAAGGTAATTCATGTGAAATTAAGATATTACGTAATTAAATCCTTTCATCTGAGCCCTCATAAATTAAAAGAAGATTTGATTTTCAAATAGAAGCGATAATAAGGACTGCAAGTAAATACTGCTTCGGCAAGGTCGGTATATGATGAGCAAGATAAAGAATCATTTTAGATGACTATAATGTCAAGTGAGATGATTTATTGAACAATCGACTAACGCTTATGCTAATGGGATTTGGCTTATTTAGGGATTATCGCAGAACCGGAATGAGAGTGAAATAAAATAAAACTGAAAAGCATTGCATTTGCTTCGTTCTGGGATGAAGATGGAATCGTGCGTATTGATGTGTCGCTTTATTTTAAATAATTTTTGTAATGAAAAAAAATGGAGAAAATAAAACCATGTGGTCACTGGACACAAACAACTATACATCCAAGTCGCTAGAAAAATCATCTTTTGTGTATGTGTTTGATGAGTTGATAAGTTGAGCGAAAGATATTTTCTTACAGTTTTTTCATTGGATCCTGATGCTTCCCGGAATAGTACAATATATGTATGTACATAAGTATATGTAGATTTTAGATTACTCCTCCATCACATTCTGAGAAGAATATAATAAAAGTAGGAATTGTAGGATTTGCAAAGCATATCATGGTCCGATCATAATAAAATGCGTTATAGCCGAAGGCGGGACACTGGTCTGTAGAACTAATCTTCAACGGCTAAAATTGAAAATGGTTTCGAAAATGAAATCCGTAATGAAATTTAAACCCGTTCTCCGGGAGTGACTGAAAAGAATCGCGAAAAATACTTGTTCACAAATACTTGCTTTAAATAGTGCAAGCGTGAAGATGAACGACAAAGGTTTACAGATTGCTAACATTTGATGATTAGACAGACACGCGGGTCTTTATCACTTTTTTTCAAAAAAAAAAAATATCTTATATAGAAGTTATGTATGAGTGTAGCATACTCTCCATACTTCTGAGATAAACACCCATTCGTGGGATGGAGAGAGACCGTGATTAAGAAATTGCATGACTTAATCTATTAGCCAGAGTGGTTGTTAAAGTAGTCTGGCATAGTCTGACTCTGAAAGGAAGAAACCAATTAAACCGATTAAACCGATGGTGATGATAATGATGATCATCTCTGCGTTACAGTTCAACCACAAAATTGCCAAGTTCTCTAATGACATTGAGCTCTAATTATTTGATGATTTCCTAACCAAACCTAAAGGTTATCGATATAATTTTGATATTGAGGAACGAAAGTTACCACAACTTACAAAAAATGTTTCAAAGACATTAAATGTTCCATTAGTTGGATTTTGAAAAAAAAAAAAATATGTCATACACCTCCGTGCGCTACTAATAAGCTGAGATGAAAGTTTTAATATGAAAAAAGAAAAACAAAAAAAAAAAAAAAAAAAAATTACATACAAAATAGGAAAAATTAAGTGATTGTCGTTCGTTTCCTTGCATTTCGTCGTATTTCCTGGAATGTGGATGTGAAAAATGCCTTTGACTGTATGAGACTGTATGTAGGAGGATGAGGAGGGGCATATGTCGATTTATCACAATTTCTGATGCAGTGCCGATAACATTCATTTCAATCAGAGTGTTTTTTCCCCATTAATGAATTTCTAAAAGACAAATATGCTTTGAATGTCATTTTACAATAATGCAGTTAGTTCATCGATTGTGAATGACTTTGAATATTAATGATCAAAAAAAAAAAAAAAAAAAAAAAAAAAAAAGAATTTATTTTTTCTCTTTTTTTTTTTTTAAACGATTTGTATATATATTTTTTGTTTTATATATATATATTTTTTTATATTTTGCTAAATTGTTACTTTGTATAACGATGACCATTGAATCGATATTTTATAGTTTGGAGAGTGAATTAAAATCTTCTCCTACAGTGATATGAATGTTTATTCATACTGTTTTAATGTTATTTATGAAATTTCGATAATAGTTTTTTTGCTTTTCTTTATTGGTTTTTTTGCTTTTTTTTTTGCTTTTTTTTGTTGTTTTTTTTTTTTACTATTTTTTGGTTAGCAAATTCAATTTTAGCTTTAAATAAAATTCTTATAGCTTGGTGGTGATAAGTGGTGAAAATAATCAATTTAAGCAAAGAATTTGATTGGTTTCAATTTTACGGGTGAGTTTGTTGTACTAGTGAAAAGTGGTGAAATATTATTTTATTTTTTTTTTTTTGGAGTGAATCAAGAGGTGAGTTGTTAGTTAGATTTCTGTTTATCGTTTTTCTTTATTTGATTGAAGTGAGACTAGAGAAGGTGAGAACACTTTTTTGGTGTTGAAAAGTGAAATATGGTGAGAGTATTAAAGTTGAGGTGAGCGTGAACATTTTATCAAAGTAGTTTTACATATAAGTTAATTATATAAAGTGGTTGAGAGAAGT